GGTGGCTGTGTGGCCATGTGTCTGTCTGTCTGTGAAAGAGGGGGGGGAAGGGGAGGGGGGCGGGACGGGGGCTGAAGATGTATAGGTCTTATCGCGATGAACAGCGCAGTCAGCACCTTGCGAAAAATTGTGAAGAGCACATTCAATTTCAGGAATGATCCTGTGAACCTTCCTTTGATTCCCCGGCTTCCTGGCAGTCCGACCATTCTCGATCAGGAAGTGAAGCAGCCAGAGTTATGGGCAGATGTTACTGATACAGTGGTGGCGGTGAGTTCAACCTGCCTTTCACACCAAAGCAACTTGTGCGCATCAATGTAGATTTCAAGCAAGAAAGGCAAAAGAAATCCCCTCCGCAATCCACTTCCATATGGGCTACATATGGCACCATGGAAGTTGGGCTCAGTACTTTGTTTGTAGCATGTGATCCGGGTGCCCTACTATGGGGCCTGAGGCAGTACTATGTCGACTGAGTGCAGTACTATGTGGACTGAGTGTAGCACCATGTGGCCCGGTTGTCGTAGTACTATGCAGTTGGATGTATTATTAAGCGGTGCGGGTGCAAGGATATGCTGGCTGTACGTGCTGCCACCCGTCCAGCCCGCATATCCTTGGGTAGCAGCACGTGCAGCCCGCAAGGATATGGGGGGCTGCATGAGCCCCCAACACCCTGGCCTCCAGCTTTGCCCAAGAACAACTCAATAACAAATGGTTGGGGTTGGGCCCAACTCCATATACCTCGTTGGGAGTTCGGACTCAGGACTCGGCCAACTTACGACATGTCGGACTGATTATTCTATTATCTAAGTAGTAAGAAGGAGAGCAAGGTGCAACTAGCTTGTTGTGTCATGTTTTGATCTGGCGGCTCATAAATTGCTGAAGAGGCAGTCATCTTGCTCTTGATAGATTAGGTTGTTTTCCTTGGATCCTGGGTCCCTTTGGGTCTCATTAAAAGCGGAACTGGGTACGGCTCCCAGACAGGTTACACATCCGGGTAGACTGTGAGGACCTGGCCTTGTCCTTATCTTTCGGAATACCAGCCTTGGGCACTGGGGCCGTTTTTTTAATAAAAAAAAAAAAAAAAAAAGGGGTTGGGGTTGGGCCCAACTCCATATACCTAACTCGGGTTGGGCCCAACCCCATACCCCAGTTAACAGAGTACTTGGTGTCCACGCTATGGACTGGTGGCAAGTCTGGCTTAAAAGGTGCGGGGCGTTGGTTATAATGGCCCTGAAAAAGGTTCAAAAACCCTCAAAGTTTAGGGCTCTGTTAACCGCTTCTCGGGACGTGGAACGACTTGGAACTCATGTGACTTTGGGACTTGGATGGATACACTCGTGTCCCAAAACCTTGAGTCCCGAGTCTCATTAGTACGACTTGGGACATGGCACTTGGGACGGTTCATGACAAAATCGAAGGACACCAAGTCGCAGTTCCAGCTGCTCAAGCAGCTAAAACCAAGTCCGGATTTAGAATCCGACGTATATTGATGCACGAAATCCCACCTCTCTCTCTCTCTCTCTCTCTCTCTCTCTCTCTCTCTCTCTCTCTCTCTCTCTCTCTCTCTCTCTCTCACACACACACACACACACACANCAAGAATTTTCTGTTTTTTTTCTGCTTCGTTGGTTTTTGGCAGACGGCAGGAGCGGCCTCGTCCATTCAATTCATCCGGCAGCATAGCAGTCAAGCCACCGAGATGTGAGAAGGACAACTGACGAGCAACATACACAAAACACAAGGGGAGGAGGGGGGGAAGGGAGAGACACACACACACACACACACACACACACACACTCTTTCGATGTGTGTTGTCATGTCTGCTACATACAACTACACAAAAAAGCCATGTGTGACTTTGTGTGTGTGTGTGTGTGCGCCTCCGTTATCTTCTTTCCATGCATAAGTTCCCCTGCTAGCTATGCTACGATGGATCCGGATACGCACAACGATCAGAAGGGGAATCGAAAATGCATGGGCTTAGTAGGTGAGCAATCATGTAAATGAAAGTTGGGATTTCGTGCATCCCAGTATCATGCCCAACCCCAACATATCATACGAAAAAGGTTTCTTTCTTCTTCTTGTGGTTTGCCTTTGTTTCTCTTCTTGACAAATTTTTTATTTTTTATTTTTGTGTTCCCATCATTGTGTGTTTCTTCTGTTCCTCTTGCTCCTCCTCTCCCCCCCCCCCTTTTTTCATCGTGAAAAACTCAGGAATCCTTAGCTCCTTTCAACGTCGAGAACTCAGGAAAGCTTGACTGGAGGAGCCTGGTGATCGCGTTGATCGACGCAAATCTCAACGGAGCAATATCAACATCATCTCCGGCAGAGATAACGGAGTTTCGTCAGTGTGAGTGTGTTGGTGGCAGAGGGCCGGTTTCTTTCTTTTCTTTTTTTTTTTTTTTTGGGGGGGGGGGGGGGGGGGGGGGGTTGTAATTGGCATCATTTCTTAATTTGTGTGTGTCATGCTAGTGCAGGCCAATGTTCAAGGCCAATTTTATTATTATTATTATTATTATTATTATTATTATTATTATTATTATTATTATTATTATTATTATTTTGTAATTCTGTATATGACAACTATATGTATCATTCAAATTTTCACGAATGTGCCGCTGAAGTATAGCCAGCCGATGCTAAATGTCACATCGGGAAGGACAGCCGTCACACTGTCATTTAACGATTGTGGCTGTCACACCAAGTAAATGATGCAGCTAAAAATAAAGCCAAGGCAGAGGGGGGTATGAGATCATGTGTGTTCTGGTATGAGGACTGAAAACCAAGACTGACGGTCCTTTGGTTGAAGGGGGGTTTAGAGGATGGTTGGCATTTTAGTTTAGTTTTGAACCCCTTCCTGAATTTTATCCGGATTTAAGAGGGGAACTTTGAAAGTTTATGACCGTCGGGGGGCACCTATGAATGTTTACGATTCCAAAATTTCTATCAAGGCTTCCTAGGTTCTTTGGGTGTTGTCATACTCAGTGAGCCGCGGTTGTTCGATGCTAGAACGACACTGGCCGGTGCTGGGGCGTAGCCCTGTGACCTGTTGATGCAGGAGCTTGAGGCCTGGTAGAGTGTCTGGGGATGCTTTGGGGTGGGCATCTTACGGGACAACCAAGGTTTGCTGCTGGGACGAAGCTGGCCGGAGCTGGGGTGAGTTGTGTCGCCCTGTAACCTAGCAGGAACTGGGGCGTGAAGCCTGGAAGAGCTTGGCAGAGAGTGAGATAATCTCGAAGAACTTCGGAAGGGTTGTTTAGGGAGTTTGAGGTTGTGAAGCATTTGTCAGGCCTTCGGCGGTTGACTTCCGTGCTTCATTCCAATTACGTCATACAAGATTTTTTTGGTTCTGGATCTTAGGTAACCCTTAGTTTTTACTTATATCCGGGGTATAGGAGTTCAGAGAGGGTCACACTCGGATCGACATCCACAGAGCTGTTCTGTTCTGTGCCCCTGTTTTGCCGATGCCAGAACGACGCTGGCCGGAGCTGGGGCATTGCCCTGTAACCTGCAATTTGCAGGAGTATGAGGTCTTGTAGAGAGATCTGGGTTTCGCCGAGGGAGGAAGGCAAGTCAGTGGTGAACTGGGGGGGCTACTTAGTGGCGAGAAGAGATCAGCTATGGGTGACGTTGGTCTGGTTGGTACTGTTCTTGAGTAAGTATACCCCGGTGCAAGGATGGCTAGGAGTTATCTTAGGTTCAGGAGTCTAGAATAGCTGACATAGTCTTTCATACACTCGTAATCATTACCAGTAGTATCGTGATCATTTTCATCTACACATGAGGGACGCTGAGCCCGGTTCTCAGCAACTTTCGGTTTCAGTTACTCCGGGTAGACTGTGAGGACCCCGGCCTCAAAACATTCCTTGTTGATAATATCAGCCTTGGGCACCGGGCCCCTAACAAAAAATAAAATAAAAAAAATGCTACCAACAGGCCTTGTTCAGTTGGTACTACAGATGAACTGTTGAAATACGGACCCGATCCCGATGGAACTAGATCAATGGCTTGAAATAATTCTGAATTCAATTAGCTTTAAAAAAAAGTAAAAAATAAAAAAGTTAAAAAAGTAAAAAAAAGTTTGAAAAAGTTAGAAAAACTGAATTACCTGGGGCTGGTCAGTTCGACAATGGTATCTCAAGTCGTGATATGGATCGACATACTAGTATGAGCCTATGAGGGTAGATCTCCCACTTCTTTTTTTTAAGCCCTTGTACAAAGCCGCCTCTATCTCTCACTTCTTCTTTCTGCTTCTGTCTATCTTTTCTCGTCTTATGCTCTTCCTCTCCAGACTGTTGTGACCGCATTCTGCCACTAGGTTCATTGCCGCACAGTCACCGGAATCAGACCAATCGATACTACAGTAAATGACAGTGTGGCGGGTCCAGTGGAGTTACTGTGGCATTTACTTACCGTGGGATCAGATCAGTCAAGCAGTGTTGTAACTGTGACCTTGAAGTTACGCCCATCGTGTGACTCCACAGTAACTTTTTTTTTTTTTTTTTTTTTTTTGGACAGTAACTTTATTTGACTCCACAGTAACTTTTGTTTGTACCTTTTTTTTTTTCCCCTTCCGCAGGTTCACATACGGAGACCTTGTTATGACTGATAAGGTTCACTGAACTGACTTTACAGTAACTTTATTGGACTCCACAGTATCTTTATTTCACTTCACAGTAACTCTGTTTTCCTCAAGGATGTGACATCGTTTACTTCAATGATGTGACTTCATTTAGTACTTCAATGATGTGACTCCACACTCACTTTATTTACTGCAGTGATGTGACTGGCTGGCTCCACTGCAACTCCATTAGACTCGACACTGTCCGGAGTAAATGAAATTACTGTGGAGTCGAGTAAAGGGACTGTAGATTCAAATAAAGAATAACTTATTTTCCCACAGTAACTTTATAAGACTCCACAATATCCGGATTAATTCCATTTACTTCAGGGATGTAGCTCCACAGTCCAGACTCCACAGTCACTTCAATTACTGGAAGTATGTGACTCCTCAGTAACATAATCCAGAGCGATTTCCATTTTACTTCAAGGATGTAACTCCACACACAGTTAATTTACTGCAAGGATGTGACTCCACAGTATAACTTTGTCCACAGTAATTTCATTTATATCAAGGATGTGACCTACTGTCCACAGTCACTTCATTTACTGCAAGGATCTGACTCCACAGTAACCTTATTTGACTGTGGAGTTGAATGGTCGAGGTGGAGTCACAAGATGTCATGGCCACAGTATGTAAATGTTGCAGTACCGGTGGAGTCGCGGTAACTTTGGGAGTCACTGTAACTGTAAATTCCATCAGGTCATGGTAAATGACAAATAGGCTGGAATAAAATTAGGAAGCTCTCTCGGGTTCTCGCGGACATAACGGAGGGACACATATGTTCAGCTGTGACCGATTGACCGAACGACCAAACGAACGAACGAACGAACAAACGAACGAACGAACGAACGAACGAACGAACGAACGAACGAACGAACGAACGAACGAACTGCGTGTGAACGCTACACAATACCACACCACATATGTTCAGCTGTGACTGATTGACCGAACGGCTGAACGAACGAACAAACGAACGAACGAACTGCCTTTGCGTGTGAACGCTACACAATACTACACACATATGTTCAGCTGTGACTGATTGAGACACTCGTGCAATACACAGTTTGTATACGCCGAAGTGAATACACACCGAGAGTTATTGCAAAAGCATACACAAAGTACAATAGTTAATGCTTGCAGTACATCGGCGGGTAATGGCACCCCAACCGGTTTCGATCGCCGCCACACGGTCTTCCGCAGGGTGAATCCACCAATCATCAACCCTCAACGATACCCAGTCGTATCCCCTTCTTCCACCTCCGCCGTTGACCCGCTAGCATATCCGGAAATGACAGCGGGTGTTTTCTGGTGTAGGACCCGAAAAGGATCAAGCGTTCAAACTTCTAAGTTCAAACTCAAAATGATGTCGATTTATGGTTTAGGGTTTAGGGTCTATCGGACCCTATCCTTTTGGTAAGGTTAGGGTACCCCCTTCTTCAACCTTCTACAGCCCACTGGCTTTCCAGAACAAGCATAAAAAAAAAGAACTGGCGACTGTAGAAGAGAAGGACACTCCAGCAAGACTGCCTCGGCATGAGAACGGAGATTACAGATCCACGAGTCTCTCCGTGAACGAGTCGAAATTTTGAAAACGTCACTGCTTTACTTTAACGGAAAGGGGGGAGGGGGGTAGCCCCGATGTACGTCAGAACTTAGGTGTTCAGACCCAGCCTCATAATGATAGGGAACTTCGGGGCTATCCCCCGAAACAGTCTGGCACAGTCATGCTTTTTTTGAGTGTATAATATATAGTGAATATGACAACACACACACACACACACACACACACACACATGGCTCATCTCGAGCATGCTTCATTGTCTGCAATATAGGTAAAGTTGCTATGACTTTGGATCTACTCATCTGGGCGGAATAGAGGAAGTTGTGGTGATAATTTGTAACACACACACACACACACACACA